AGAGAGAGAGAGAGAGAAAGTATGTAAAAGACCTGGCCAAAAGCAGTGGAGAGCATAATCCCTAAAACAGGCTCCCTAAGTATCACAGCATTAATATTTTTCAGAAAAAAATGCAGCTTTCTAAGTGATCAACTATTTTGATGAGCTATTCATTCCTAAATATATAGTAAGCAACATCTCAAGTAGGTAAAACTTGAGATGCGTTAGGACAAAGTTGCTGGACTTTGAGGAGTGAAATACAAATTCTTACCCCCAAACCCCAACGATCTTAATTTTTTTTTTTTTTGTAAAGAGACAGGGTCTCACTTATTGCCCAGACTGGTCTCCAAGTTCTGGGCTCAGGCAGTCCTCCCCCTCTCAGCTTCTGGAGTAGCTGGGACTACAGGTGTGAGCCATCGTGCCCAGCTAAAAAAAAACTTTAACTGGCACAGTGCCTGTGGCTCAAGTGGCTAAGGCACTAGCCACATACACCTGAGCTGGTGGGTTCGAATCCAGCCTGGGCCCGCCAAACAACAATGATGGCTGCAACCAAAAAATAGCCGGGCATTGTGGCAGGCGCCTGTGGTCCCAGCTACTTGGGGCTGAGGCAGGAGACTCACTTGAGCCCAGGAGTTGGGGGTTGCTGTGAGCTGTGATGCCAGGCACTCAACCCAGGGAGACAGCTTGAGCCTCTGTTTCAAAAAAAAAAACAAAAAAAAACACCTTTAACTTTTTGATAACCAAGATATTGAGGTTACTTACCAAATCACTTATTCTGCTATATAGTTTCACTTAGTTGACTTATAGTGATTTTCCTCTCTTTTTCTCAGACTCTGCATCCAATCCATTTAGCAGATTCCATTGGTCACAACATATCATTTCTTATTACCTCCACTGCTTACCCACCTAATCTAAGCCTCCACCTCCTATCATTGGAAATACTGAAAGACCTGCCTGTTGTTTCTATTACTACTCAAGTTCTGGAGTGTTTTCTTATATAAAAGCCAGAGTAATTTTTAAAATTCAAGCCAGATTTTGTCACTCATCTGCTTAAAACCTTCCAATGGCTTCCCTCATATTCAGAATAAAATCTAAAGTCCTTCTCATGGCCTATGAAGCCCTATATAGCCCACTACCTCCTTATGTTACCTCTTCTCCTCAACACCTTGCCATGAGTTCCTCCTCCATGGCTTCTTTTCTCTTTCTCTAACACATCCAGTGAGTGCCTACCTCAGCATCTTTTACTGGCCATTCTCTCTTAATACAATGTTTAGATGGCTTATTCCTTTTCATTCATGCTTTTTACAAATGTTATCTCCTCACAGAGACTTCCTTGACTACCCTATTATAGAATAGCATCCTCAATGTCCTCACCTTGCTGTTTTTCTTCAATGTAAGCACTAACTGACAGGAACTATTATTTGCTTATTGTCTCTCTTATACACTAAAATGTAAGCTCAAGGAGAGCTGGCATGTGTTCACTGCTATTTCTTCAGCCAATTAGTACTTAGAACATAACCGAACAGGTATGCAATACAAATTTGCTGAATAGTGAATTAATATTCTGGTTTCAATTATTGAGTTTGCTCTTTCCTTGAATTTTACTTTATATACCTTATAACACTACACCATCAAAGACTGAGTAATTTAACTTTCAAAAGACCCTCTAAGCATTTCCCTTTTTGGACCACTTAGCTTAACTAAATACCTTCTGCCATGAAAGACATAAAGAGAAGTGAGAACTGGCCCCAGCTCATGTCAGTTGCAGATATGGGGACAACCTGGCAATACCTGACAAACTAGGTCTAATCTCAATACAGCATCTGGGGTGATCCTTTTAAAATAAAAGTCATTCTTTCAAAACCTAAAGTTAGGTTTTTATAAACCCTACAACTGCTCCCTGTTTCTCTCAAATCGTAACTGGGAGTTCTCATGATAGGCTATGAGCCTCTGTAAGATCCGGCCTGTGGGCTCGGCCCCTGTGGCTCAACCGGCTAAGGCACCAGCCACATACACCTGAGCTGGTAGGTTAGAATCCAGCCCGGACCCGCCAAACAACAATGATGGCTGCAACCAAAAAATAGCCAGGCATTGTGGCGGGCACCTGTAGTCCCAGCTACTTGGGAGGCTGAGGCAGGAGAATCGCTTGAGCCCAGGAGTTGGAGGTTGCTGTGAGCTGTGATGCCATGGCACTCTACCCAGGCGGACAGCTTGAGGCTCTGTCTCAAAAAAAATAAATAAATAAAAAGATCCAGCCTGTGGCCTCTCTAACATCTGCCCCATGGTCACTCTACACCAAGCACACCAGCCACCTTGTGCTCCTCAAACAGCCTCGGTACACTCCTGCCTGAGGGCATATCTTCTTAAAATGCTCTTCACCAAAAAATCCATATGGCTAATTTCTTCAAGGCTGCTCAAACATGATCTTCCTAATAAGGCTCTATTTAAAATTGCCACCCAATGCTAGATTTCTTTTAGCATGCTCTACTTTTTCTTGTTTTTCATGGTGCTTATGCCTTCTAAAATAGTACAAATTTTACTTAAGATTTAGTATGTTTATTGTCTTTCTTTTCACTCCATGATGGCAGGAATCTTTGCCTGTTTTGTTCACTGACTCTAAGCATCTAGAACAATACCTAGCATATAGCAGTCCCAAAAAAAAAAAATGCATTTGTGATTGAAGGTAAAGACTCTAAAGAGCCTCTGGCCTTTATTCTGAGAGATTACTTACATCTGGGCTGCCTTTGAAGGAGAGATTACCATCACAATTTGACTATAAAGTTAATCTACAAATCATGAGATGGTAATAATAAAACACATAAGAACACAAAACTAGAGTCAAAAAAACTTGGATTTTGTACTCCAATTTCATTTTGGATTAATTATATGATTGACAATGTACTTAACCTCATAGTTGTTTCCCAATTAATTCCTTTCCCCGTCCCCTACTCTGAAGATTTTTCATTAGGACCTATGGCATGATATGAATATTTCCCTTTAGGCTTTTGCCCCTTGAAGGCTCTAGAAGATTAATCCAAGAAAAGACAATCATATGCTAGACAGTTTTAGAAATATTAATAACTTTAGCTCTTTAGTAAAGAGGCAGTATTGTACATAAGTGAAACTTCAGGAAAAAAAAAAACCCTAACAACTAAATTATTCATTGTAAGCAAAATATCATGGTAAGATAGAGAAATGAAGCCAGTCAGATACCCAGGGTAGAAACAGGCTTGGTAGGTTGCTTTCCCAGCTATTTTTAATAATAGAAGAATAGAGCACGAAGTTAAAAAAGGAAGTCATATAAAACAGATATCCAACAGGCTCTCAATATATCAGCTGATCCTTACCTGGCAATGCTGAAACTCAAGCAGAGCAGCCCTCAGTGGAGATGAAAGCATGCTTTGCTTGAGCCAGAGAGAAATATAGGTGTGCCAGAAAAAATGCCATAAAAATTTAAAACCAGAGTGAAAGTCACACTGAGAGATATTTTGGTAAGTCTGTAAAGAAATAAATAACACTTCTATTAACTATTACTTGGGCAACGTATTATGACCAAGTACTATTTTGGATTGGAAAATTTTAGCGTGAATATAAGCAAATTAAAGAACCAGTGTTAGATTTTCTAGGTTTGAGGGCCACATACTACTACACAATGGCACTGCATTGACTGTGACTCCTACAGACCCAATTACTATGGTTTGAAAAATATGTTAAGGAGAGACATAGCCCAGTGAAAGAGAGAAAAAAGGAAGAAACCACAGTATGACAGACACAGTCAAACTTAAACAACATAATCATCTCAGCACATAGAGTTTTCTTCCTTGACTTGTTTCCCTGGACTAAGCTACTTATTTCATCTTTATGGTAAAACCAAACACTCCAAAAGTATTGACTACTACACTGACTCACATTCATCGCATCCTTTTTGTAGTTTTGAATTTACCCCACTCTTAATCCTAAATATAGAGATAAAATGGCTTATAAGTAGGTATTAAACTTGGGAAGAGGAAGATAATCATTTGAAATTATTAAATTGGGAGGAAGAAGCTTTATAGTAACCACAAGCACACCCAGGAAAGTTACATTTAGGATGGCTGGTGATCCTGCTCTTTCCTCTTTTGGTTTATTTCCTGGGAAGGGGAGGTGGAGCAAAAGACCCTAATAATGAGCCACTTGATCTTACCACATCAATCTCCGTGTTGGAATGTCCCATGTTACAGACAATACAGCTATTCTTCATACGGTCCAGGTGCTCTCTGGTTACCACATTCTTGTTACCTTAAAAACCAAAGAGGTATCCATATGAAGAGAAATGAAGCTGGACCCCTATCTCATTCAATATGTAAAATTAACTCAAAAGGAATCATAATCTAAGTGTTAGAGCTAAACTATAAAACTCTTAGAAGAACATAGGAGTACATCTTTGTGACTTTGAGTTAGGCAATGGTTTCTTAGACATAATACCTAAAGTACAAGCAACCCAAGAAATAATAGGTAAATTGGACTATGTCAACAGTAAAAGCTTTTGTGTACAAATGATACCACTAAGAAAATGAAAAGAAAACCCATAGAATGAGAAATAAAAATCTGCAAATCATATAATTGATAAGGGACTTTTATTCAGAATATATAAGGAACTCTTACAACCCAATAAGAAGAAGACAATTCCAAAATGAGCAAGATGGGCTCAGAATTTGAGATTACAGTGAGTGATGATCATGTCATTGTACTCCAGCTGGGGTAACAGAACAAGACCCTATCTCTAACTGAAAAATAAAAAGAGCAAAAGATCTGAACAAACATTTCCCCAAAGAAGATGTACAACGGCCAACCAATTCGTGAAAAGATGCTCAATGTGATCAGTCATTAGGAAATATAAATCAAAACCACATTGAGTACCACTTTATGCTCACTGGGATGGTGATAATTAAAAAGACAGATAATAACAAGTATTGGTGAAGATTTGCAGAAATCAGAATGCACATGCATTTTGGAGAGATTGTAAAAGGTGTAGTCATTTTTTAAGTTTGGCAATTCCTCACAACATTAATAATAGAGTTACTACGTGAGTCACAAATTTTACTCCAAGGTATATATCCAAGAGAACTAAAAAATATGTCCACACCAAAGCTTATGTATAAGGTCCACAGCAACAGCATTATTCCTAATAGTCAAAAAGTGAAAACAACCCACATGTTCATCAACTGATGAATGAATAAATAAAATGTGGTTACATCATACGATGAAATATTATTCAGCAATAAAAAGAAGTGAAGTATTATACATGCTATCACATGGTGGACCCTGAAAACATCATGCTAAGTGAAAGAAGCTGGTCACAAAATATAACATACTGTATGATTCCATTTATATAAAATATCCAGAACAGCAAAATCTATACAGACAGAAATATTAGTGTATTGCCTAGGACTAGGGGAGGGTGGAGGATAAAGGATACAATAAGGAGTGACTGATAACAGCATAGAGTTTCTTTCTTTTCTTTTTTTTTTTTTTGCAGTTTTTGGCCAGGGCTGGGTTTGAACCAGCCACCTCTGGCATGTGGGGCCGGTGCCCTACTCCTTGAGCCACAGGTGCCACCCCAGCATAGAGTTTCTTTATGGGGTGATAAATATGTTCTGGAAAGAGATAATGGGACATTATACAACTCTACTAAAAACCATTGAATTGTAAACTTAAAAATGGTGACCTTTTGCAGCGCCAATAGCTCAATGGGTAAGGTACCAGCCACATACACCGAGGCTGGTGGGTTGGAGTCTGGCCAGGGCCTGCTAAACAAAAATGACAACTACAACCAAAAACTGGCCAGGCACTGTGGCAAGTGCTTATAGTCCCAGCTACTCGGGAACCTGAGGAAGAGATTAGCTTAAGCCTAAGAGTTTGAGGTTGCTGTGAGCTGTGACGCCACAGCACTCTACTAAGGGTGATATACTGAGACTCTGACTCAAAAAAAAAAAAAAAAAGAAAAGGTGACCTTTATGGTATGTGAATTATATATCAATGAAAAGATTTGATTTTGGTGAGGGCTGCACAACCCTGTAAATTTACTAGAGAACAGTGAATTTAAATGGATGAAATATGTAGCATGTGAATTACACCTCCATAAAGCTATTTTAAAAATCCAGGAAATTTATGTGAACCAAGAACAGCTTCTTATGGTCCTTCTCTGCCCCCAGATTTCCCTGAGGCTACAAATATTTCTGAGTTTCCCCCTCAAAAATAAGATTATAAAAGAAAACCAGTGTTCCTGTTGTTTATGGTTCTACCATAAAAGTAAAATAAGCATCTCAATCTAAATAAACTAGCCATCTCTGTATATTCCTCTCTAAAAATCAAAATCTACCTCTTTAGGAATTAACATAATAACCTCTCCCACTTTAACTATGAATAATTTTGCTCTACCTTTGCCTTAATTATAGACACTAGAGAGAATTATATATCATTTCTGGAGGTAAAATAAATATCAAGCAGAGTCCTATGGATGAAAAAAAAAAAGAAAAAATCAAGTGTACAAATGTAAAGTCTGGCTTCCCAAATAAAACTATGCTAATTTATCTCATCTCTAGCTTTATCCTAGGTAGTTGGGGATGAATGGAGATAGAGCAGTTACAAAGGGTGGAGAGAAAGCTTCCTACAGGAATGACCTAATGGTATACTTTGGGGCCACAGCTCCAAAGAGGTAGAAAGAAAAAAACTAGCTGGTTTAAAAAAACTGGCTGGTTTTGTATACTACTATCTCATTCTAGCTTTCAGACTTTGGTTTTTCAGAATATTTCCAATCATCTTTCATTTACTCTATGAAAGCGTTCCCAAGTGCCACCCCAGTTAGTATGTCATAATCATACCTGTACAGGTAATAACAATGTCCACTTGTCGGATGACCTCATTTAATTTCACCAGTCGAAATCCATCCATACTGTAGAAATAAAGCATGACCAATAACCTAAACAGACAGCTGGGGAGATTTTTGCCACAGAACTACAAGAGCTATTACCAAGGTCCTTTGGTACCTACACTGTCACTTCTTGAGATAGCTGGATTATCCTTAGTAGCAAAAAGTCCAAACCATTTCCTTAATCACATAAGTTCAGACAAGACAGAAATAAAAGGTACTTTTACATCACTGGAACTTATTTCTTCCTGATAACAGAGAGCCAAGCATTACCATGAGATTTCCCAACCAAGCTTCTGGAAACTCTAGAAGTGTCACTTAGCCACTGAATCTGCTAGCCCACTGAACGTGCTCTCCTTTAAGATCATTAATAATTTCCTAAAAGCCAGAACCAAAACAAAAAGAAAATTTTTTTAAGATAGTATCTCACCATGTCACCCTTGGTAGAGTACCGTGGCGTCACACCTGACAGCAACCTCAAACTCTTGTGCTTAAGCAATTCTCTTGCCTCAGCCTCCCAAGTAGCTGTGACTATAGGTACCCGCCACAATGCCTGGCTATTTTTTTTGTTGTAGTTGTCATTGTTGTTTGGCAGGCCTGGGCCTCTAGCCCTGGTGCATGTGGCCGGCGCCCCAGCTGCTAAACTATAGGTGCTGAGCCCAGAAAGATTTCTGAAACTTATACCCATACTTGACTTCTTCTACGTTAAACATTATTTGCCTTCTTAAAATGCTATACTCTTTTGATCCTGTAACATTTCTATCCTGGTTTTCCTCCTACTTTTCTGATTGTCTCTTCTTGATCACAACCAATCTTGACACTGGTATACTCTACAGGGTTCTGCTCTTTACTCTTATTTTTTCAGTATTTATCCATACCTCTTCCCCTGGCTGCAAATGACCACTTATAGGTGGCTGATATATACATTTATATCTTTAGATTAAATCTCTCTAAGCCTTCGCAGTCAAGGATCAAATTATCTACTGAACGTTTCCTCATGAATGTCCCAGAAGGATCTCAAACTTAACTCATTATTGTCTTCCCACATCCAACTCCATCTATTTCTTCTTCTGTATTCTCTATTTTGATCAATAGCGTCAATGTTCATCCAACTATATGAGCTATATAAGCAAGAATGTACTAAGGGCTGGGTGTGGTGGCTGACACCTGTAATCCTAACACTCTGGGAGGCCGAGCTAGTTGGATTGCCTGAGCTCATGAGTTTGAGATCAGCCTGAGCCAGAGCGAGACCTCATCTCTAAAAATAGCTGGGCATTGTGGCGGATGCTTGTGGTCCCAGCTACTTGGGAGACTAATGCAAGTGAATCGCCTGAGCCCAAGAGTTTGAGGTTGCTGTGAGCTATGACGCAAAGACACTGTACTGAGGGTGACAAAGTGAGACCCTGTCTCAAAAAAAAAAAAAAAAAAAAAAATGAATGTTCTAGCTTACTGCCTATTCCTAATTGAAGCTGTCACCAAATGTGGTTGATTATTGAATCTGTCCCTCCTCTTCACACATGCTGGTCTTGCTTAAGTTCAGGTCTTATACTTCCTGTCTAGATTACTACAGTAACCCCTGACACAATCTCATTGCCTTTAAATCATTTTGCAACTTCCCTAAACACAATTTAGATCATGTCACTTCCTTGCTTATAATATTTCAATGAGGTTCGGCACCTATAGCTCAGTGGCTGGGGTGCCAGCCACATGCACCGGAGCTGGAGGATTCAAATTTGGCCCGGGCCTGCCAAACAACAATGACAACTGCAACCAAAAAACAGCCAGGTGTTGTGGCACACGCCTGTAGTCCCAGCTACTTGGGAGGCTGAGGCAAGAGAATCGCTTAAGCCCAAGAGCTTGAGGTTGCTGTGAGCTGTGACGCCATGGAACTCTACCCAGGGCCACATAATGAGACTCTGTCTAAGAAAAAAAAATTTTCAATGAGATGCCTGTTCTCAGGGTAAGACCCAATACCTACGTTCATATATGATTACACTGACATATGATTCCTATGACACCTAACTCAGATATTATCATTCCTTCAAATTTATCGTGTCTGCCAGCAACATTAAAACATTTCCACCTTCTTAGACATGCTGTGCTATCTCTTTTTTTAGAGACTATGCACATGTTCCCTCTAACTGGAATATACCTCCAAACTAAGAAAACATTTAGACATGTCTCAAGACTCAGTTCTGCTGACATCCCTTTCTACCCTGTCCCCTTGCTCTCCAGTTAGAAATTTCTCCTTTGTGCTCCTACAGAAGCATGTGATGTTTATCTCCATGTCAGCACTTACTACACTGCATACTGGTTATCTGTCCATGTGCTTCTAAAAGCAGACTTTGAGACAGAGTCTCACTCTGTTGCCTCAGGGTAGAGTGCCATGGCAACACAGCTCACAGCAACCTCAAACTCCTGGGCTCAAGTGATCCTCTTGCTTCAGCATTTTGAGTATCTGGGACTACAGGCGCCCACCCAACACCCTAGTTTTTCTATTTTTAGTACAGACAAGGTCTCACTCTTGTTCAAGCTGGTCTTGAACTCCTGAGCTCAAGCAATCCACCCTTCTTGGGCTTCCAGAGTGCTAGGATTACAGGTGTGAGCCACCATGCCCAGCCTCTATAGGATAATTTGAATAGTACTACAAATAGTATCAAAGCAAGTTCAAATTTCTATAATAAATTCTGAGAACACTTGAAAAGTGATGGCTCCCCTTGTGTACAGGAACCTTGACTCAAAGAAAGTAACTCTATTGAGAAAATCTTTCGGTTTATAGCTAAGATGTGTGAGGAGGGTAGGGGGAAATTATTATGGTAAAAGCTTTATGCCATGTTTCAGTTTATCTTGGGAACATTCCTCTACAGCATGTTTTTCAACCCCTTTTTAAATCTTACAGCACACTTGAACGTATAAACTTCTGTGCACACTTATGTTGATCAAAAAAAGGATAAAAAAGAATCTATTTTCTGTGCTTTGAACTTCTTTTGAAAATAATTTTATTATTATTAAGATCCTCTTGTGGCACACCAGTTGAAAATCACTGCTCTAGAGGGTTGATAGCAAAGACTGGGTTGGATATCCAGGCTATAAACACTAGGACTCTGCATAGTTTTCAGGAACAACAGTATTTCCCATCCTGCTAAGGGTAGCAAGAGACAATTTTAATAATAACTACCATTTAGTGAGCATGTATTATGTGACAGCAGCTTTGTACCTTATATATTATGTAATACATAATAATTATTATTTTATTGAACTCTTACAATCCTGTGAAGTAGCTATGATTACCTACATTTTACAGATGAAAAAGGAACTATTTTTTCAAATTTTTAATTGTAGAATAATTTCAAATTTAAGAATTTAAAGAATAGTACAAACACTCATATACCTTTCAGTCAGAGTTAGCAGATTTTACCCTTAATTTGGACTTGACTGATAGTTCCTCACAATTAGATTCAGGTTATATGTTTTGGGGAGAGATATAATAGCACAAAAAGGCTTTTTCACATCAGAAAAGACATCTGATACCAGCCTATTTCTTTTCTGATCATTGTTTTCAAAGAGGCAGGGATTACATACAGAAGAGGTAAGGGGCTACTTGTTCTCTGGCTCAAAGCATACCCTGCTACTATTTCCTAAATTTTAGCTTTTCTGATAGTCTCTGCTCTATCACAGTAGAGTTCCTTGATCTTTGAAAGAGAAACTTAGCATTAGTGGCAGCCTCTCTGAGGAGCTGAGCCCCTCTAAGATCAGATGTGGCATTAACTAGGCCCCTCTTTGGAGTAGCTCCAAGATCACATGTTGGATGGCAGCATACAGGAGGAGCAAGTCTCCCTTTGCATGCTTACCAGGCTTGCAGGGCACAGATGGGGTCAATCTCTGTTACATACACAATGGAGCCCATGGCTTTGAGGGCAGCACAGCACCCCTTCCCCACCTGAAGAGGGGGAAGAACACACCTATTAGGAAAGTCAATGACAAAACAGTTTTCCAAAGTTTCTGTAAAGAGCACCCCCACTTTCTGCCCCCAAAAGGAATTTCACTGAATAGATTCGTGCTTAGGAAAAAAAAAAAAACAAATAAATGAATACAGTTCATAAACAAACCCCTGGCTCTGGCTTATCACATTCATGCACGTAAGAACACCCACACTCACGATTTATAATCAAAACACAAGCGAAAAGAACATTATAAACAGTGGTTCTGGAACAAGTCAGAAAATTAACTTAAGGAAAAATGGCAAAGATGCAAAGGTAAAAGAAAGGCTTTACTTTAACTAGAGGGACTCCAAAGTTATTTAGTTTCCCATTCTAAAGTGGTAATAAATATATTCTTATGTCCATACAAATGAAAAATTCTAGAATATTTTAGCAAAATACATTGCTAAATACATTTGAAACACCAAAATGAAATGAATGAAAGGCTAAACTTTACCTCTCCATAGCCACAGATCACCACTTGCTTTCCACCAAACATCATGTCTGTTGTTCTTTTAAGTCTAGCAGGGGGGAAAAAAAACATCAAATCAGAAAAAATTTTCTCATTTCTCCCTTGAGATTAGTATTAAGTCTTTTTGTTTACATGGTTCTTTTTTTGGTTTGTTTTTTATTTTGAAAGAAAGTCTAGTTTCTCTCCTAGAAAAACAATTTAATAAGCAGAAAGAAAATATATTTTCTCACTCCTTGCCATCCAATTAATTCTACATGTGATTTTTTTTTCCTTTTTTATTCCTTTTGTTTGGAGTGATATAGAAGAGAAGAAAACATAGATTATACAGTAACTTTTGAACATAAAAGCAATATATATTTATTATATAATGTTTTGAATGTATAAAACTTGGAAATAAAAGATACAAAGAAGAAAATAAAAATAATGTAATTTTAATTTATGAAGTTACAAAGCTTTGGTTTAATGGAAATGTTATCTAGAGGTGCTATACAAATCATTTCCAGAAATAAGCAAAACCAAAAGAAAATCAGAACTATAACTCAAGATCATCTTAAAGTTAATAAACATTACCCATCAAGAATTGATTCACGGCAACAGTAGAGATTGTCAAATTTCTGTTTGGTGACTGAGTCATTGACATTCATGGCTGGAACACACAGCTTCCCAGCTTTGGACAGTTGGTATAGCCTAAGAATGAGGGAAGTCAAGAAGAACATAAAACAATGAAATATCAAGATCCACTATCGCTTTTAGATCAAATCCCATAAATATGTTGATTAGGTAGGCATGAGAGCATGACACATGACTAGTTTTGTCCTCTCAGGTAGATAATGAGAAATAAAAAATATGTTTCTAGAGCCTGTATACAGTTTGGCAATAAAGATCTTCTTCAAAAATAATGTGGGGAAAATCCCTGACCTACCTTTAAATTTTAAATGTAAAATTTTAAATTGCGTATTAACTTTATCCCCCATTTTTTTTTTTTGAGACAGAGTCTTAAGCTGTTGCCCTGAGTAGAGTGCCATGGTGTCATAACTCACAGCAACCTCCAACTCAGGATCAACTGGGATCTTGCTTTTTGCTCAGGCTGGTCTTGAACTTGTGAGCTCAAGCAATCCACTGCCTCAGCTTCGCAGAGTGCTAGGATTATAGGTGTGAGCCATTGTGCCTGGCCTTTATTCCCCATTTTAATTATAAAGAGAGTAACTTTCAGTACTACTATGTTGGATAATTAAGTTTTCAAACTCATCCTGGAAAAAGTACACCTTTGACATACTCCTCTTATGTCTGGCAACTGTAGTGATATTCAGCAATGAGATATGTAGCACTTTTTCTAGGATGGGTTTGTGAACTTAGTTGTCTGACTTCGTATTTTAAAAATCTTGCATAATCCCACTACTCTAATGCAAAAATTTTAACTCACAAATAATCTAAAATTAATAAGCTCAATATATAGATCTACATATGAAAGTTTTATGTTATTTTATTTTTTTCAGAAAGAGTCTCACTTTGTCACCCTTGGTAGAGTATTGTGGTATCATAGCTCACAGCAACCTTAAACTCTTGGACTTAAGTGATTCTCTTGCCTGAGTAGCTGGGATGATAGGTACCTGCCACAACGCCTGGCTATTTTTTTAGAGACAGGGTCTCGCTCTTGCTCAGGCTGGTCTCAAACTCCTGAGCTTAAGAAATCCATCAGCCTCAGCCTCCCAGAATGTTAGGATTACAGGCATGAGCCATGGCACCCAGCCAAAA